AAAATAGGAAAAGCGTTATTTTTAAGAGGGAAATTTAAATGATTATTTAAATTAACTTTCGGCGAACTTTTTATTTAGTATGATTATGCGAATAATATTTTTAAGTGCACATAGTGAATCATCGATCTTAAATTATAGTAGTCTAGTAACAACTTTTCGAGCTTAATTAGCGTCTTTCGAAAAAGAAAGAGTATACGATCACTCGTCTATCTTATTTTCAAATCTCAATGTTCCCAGTTTGACCGATATTTTTGTAGACAGTGACAGATTATTGCAAAATTGAAGCAACTAGACCACAAAAAATGTCGATTTACGTAGGATAAGTACGCTGATGATTATCGCGGATAAAAATCAAGCGCAAGAACCGATATTCGTCCGATGAAATTTGTCCCGAAAAAGGGTAATTAAATAGAGCTCATAAAACGGGAGCGGAAACTGATCAACGCCCCGTCTATTTCGCACAGTACGACTGATGAAAAATTCATAATTCAGCTAGATGTTGTGAAGGATTGGTTTTCGATGGTACGAGAAAAAGCGAGACGCGGAATCGGGAAATCAATTAATTAATAAAGAGATGAAAACGCGAGAAGAAATTTATGCGAAGGAAAGTGTGGCAAACTGCAATATGACTGTTCGTAAAAGCCAACAGAGAGCGAAACAAATGAAAAAAGAAACGAAAATGCAATTAAAAAAGGAACAAATCGATTCGTGTCACGGGAAAATTAATTTCCGTATTTTCAACCATTTTTTCACCGTGTTGAAAATGTCCGAAAAATTCTGTGATACATTTTATTTCACGTGAAATTTGACGGATTTCAATATTTGCTTTAATCTTCGTAAACAGCTTGTGCACAGTGTATTATGATAAATAGCTAAAAATAATTCTCAGTTACAGGAAAACGATAATCGAAGCTGACGTTTATTGCCAATGTTTATAGAATTTCTCGATAAATAATTAATCAAACGTGCATTCGGTTAATTAAAATAACAAAACCACACATTCCTTATTAACAATTTAAAATTGCCACCGAAATGCAAATCCGAAATCATATTTTTCTTCCAGTTAAACAATTTTGCGACACGAACAAATATTCCGCAATTTTCAGTAATATACATAAATCAGGAAAACGCAGCGATACAAAGAAAAATCAAACTTATCGCGTGAATCAACGAGCTTCGTGCTTAGCTTCTCCGGAAATGTCAAAGATAAGAAAGACAGAGGAGGGAAAAAGGGGTAGATAGGAACGAGGGAAACCTAGAAAATCGGTAAACCTCGTTTATGGAAAAAGGAGTGCAGAGAAGCCGGCCAAAAAGTTGATAAAGATAGGAGGAGGAGCACGACAAAAAGGAAAGGCGGCAAGCAAACAGAAAGTAAAGGGATCGCGGGATGTAAAAGGCGGACGTATTCGCGAAAAAGTCTCGCGTTTTTTCCCTTTCTCTTTCGCGCTCGTTTTCTGACCACGATGAGATTAAACACCGCCAGTGCTGCCGGCGAGATAAGTGAATTGAAAGTGACACTTGTTGTCGTAAATCATGGCTAAATTCTGCTGTTCATTCGTCGAGACGAATTTCAAACGCCCCTATCGAGATAGCGATCGACAGAAACGTCGCGAGGATGACCTAACCTGCGATCCTCTTTCAGTTGTGAGCTCGAGAATAACAAAAAGTTATCAACTTGTTAACAAATTATTCTGTTACGTAATTCTTTACGTGATTGAATACCCAATTCTAAAATACACAATTTAAAAAAAGAAGCTTCTTCCTAGACCCTCTAATTCCAGAGATATTCCAGATAATACATCTTCAAACCTCAGGTTTGAAGGCTTCTTTCACCCCATCAAAATGAACGATTGTTTATTGAAAAAAAAATCTTTTTTATTCCATTCTTTGTGTGATTGAATACCAAATTCTAAAACACATTATTCCTAGACCCTCTAATTCTAGAGATATTCCAGAAAATACATCTTCAAACCTCAGGTTTGAAGGCATTTTTGACCCCTTCAATATGGACGATTGCTTATAAAAAAAAATACGTATCGAATAATTTTCTGAGGTCTACAATATACCAAAGTTTCATCAAAATCAGAGTGTTTGAATTCCACAAGTTTCCTTGTATGAAAGAGTTTGATATGGTTTGAAGACATCCATATAGTGATGCTAACAAATAAGTTCCCTCAAATTCCTCATTCTGATACTCATTCCAATGTTATCAACACACTTTTTAGATATTAAAGACAAGTTTAACAACTTGTGCCATCATGCTCTTCAAACGACATCAAACAAAAATTTTGAAATCAATAAAAACGACTCACACGTGAGGAACGAATATTGGTACCAACTAATTTTAGCAAAGAATCTAAACAGAAAAATCTCACAAAGGCAACCCAAAACAAAATTTCCACAAATACGTCGTCAGAAGAGAAGAGGATTTTCAATTTACACCTGACTATCTAAAAAAAAAAAGAGGGAGAGACCGTCGAACGTCGACGCTATTTCTCACTCTTAAACCAGCAGACCCGGTTCGCTCGAATATTCTCATTGTCGCTGTCCGGCCATGAGAAATTTCCCATCAAACCCGCATTTACACCTCCAAACTGCGAGGCTGGATCCTTTAATAGCTTGGCTGGCTGCTCGAAGAAAAACCCGATTTCGCCGATGAAGCCCCGGCCGCGATTCTCTCCCCTTTGTTCCCGATTGAATGGTAGGCTCGATATCAATTGAAACGTTCCAGAGGAAGCAACTCCATCGGCTCGACCAACAGAAAATTTTTAATGAAAGTCGCCCGGCAGAGGTATGGGGACGGACGGAGTTGGAGAAACGGAATACGAATCTCTCTATGGAGAAAGAGAGAAAGAGTAATGGTGGATTCGTCGGAGAAAAGAAAGGTACAAATGCTGGTGTGTGTGTGTGTGTGGTGGGGGAGTGGTTGGCAGAGGGAAAGCGAGCCAGGGTAATCTCTGACATCTTGTTACAGCTCGGCATAAGAAAGAAGAAGCCAGAGGGGATGGAAAGGGCTGTGCAGAGACCTCTTCGTGGCCGCGTTCAATTAAAGCGTCACCTCGCGGAGGAAACTTTTATATGAATGGTTTTCATTACGTCGCGGACTTATTAAAGCCGTCTTCGTGCGGGCATTAATATCCCTCGTCCAGACGAGTTTTGTTATCAGGCCATCCCCCATTCAGCGGCGCACACGCTACTTCACGCGAACGGACCACCGCGATTCTATCGTTCGCGCAAATGACGAGTGCTGGCATTTTGTAACCCGGTTACGCGCGAATTTATGAAATATTCCGTTTTTTCTTTAAATATGCGTGAGTTTTTGTGTTTTTTAAAAGACGTGGACGCGTAAAAACATTCTGATGTGTTCATTCTGACTCTTTCAATTTTTTTTTAAAGGAATTAGTTGTAAATTAGTGAAATATCTGCTTGGAAAAAGTGGGTTTTCTTAAGTTTTTCATTATTTTACTTTTTTATGCATGTTAGACCTTTGTCTAAACGATTTTAATGAAACTGATGGAAAAATCCACGTTAAATCTTTGGGGCAAGAATTTCTTTTCAAAATGTCTAAGAATGAAATAACGTAATATTTATAGTAATTCTTTTGTTACGTGCGAATTGGTAAACTATTTTTTTTTTTTAAACATGCGTGAGTGTTTTGTACAGGACATGGGCACACGAGAGACTTTCTTTTTTCTATGTAGATACAATGTGAGGCAAGAATTGTTTTTCAAAATGTCCAAGAACGTTTTTATTTCTTGAGAATTGCTAAACTATTTTTCCTTCTCTGAAAACATACGTGGATTTTCTGTCAAAAAATGTGAACGTATAAGAATCTCTGAAAATCTTTTATTATTTTCTTTTTTTATGTAGATTAGTCTTCCGTTTAAACGAATTTAACGAAACTGAAGGAAAAATCTACAATTTGAGATACAAATTTTTTTTATGTACCTAGAAATGAAAGGACGTAATATTTAATTTATCCAAACGGATAGTTTTGAATAGCAGTAAATGTTTCAGAATATGAAACGAAACTAAAAAAAAATTTTCTTTTCTCTTAAAATTAGGCATAATTAATTTCCCTTCTTAAAAAATTAATTCGTTACTCATCCTTGCTGTCGTTTTCATAACTCTCTCTACTAAACTACCCTTTAAAAGCACTTCAAATTTTCGAAATGTATACGAACGCATGTTATACCACAAATTGCAATTTATCCAAATTTAGTAGATTACACATTTTTGAGAGAGTAATGGGCGTGCGATATTTGCACGAATTTCGCTCCGAGAAAAACGTAGGAACGGAATGTGAAGCAGTTGATAGACCAAATTTAAAAGTGAATTGTAATTCGTACAAATCAGCGGATTATTTATTTTTGATAGAGTAATATGCAGATTGCTCCATACACGAATTTCGTTCAGGGAAAAACGTGGGAATGGAATGTGAAGTAATTGATGGATTATATTTAAAAGCGAATTGTAATTTATACAAATTAGTGGACTGCTGATTTTTCGCAGAATATACACCTGTGTTTCCATTTTTTTAAATACGAATTTGCTGGGAAAGAATCGTGGGAGAGAAATATGAAATAATTGCTGGATTACGACCTGAAAGTACATTGGTGTTTTTATTCGTTGATCCTATCGACGCTTTGCTTTTTCATCTGCTACTATTTCAAATGAAACAAATTATTGCTAAAAATTTCCCAATATTCCATGTGAATATTTTTCGACAAATATAAAAACAGCGAATAAATTATATTAACCGTTACTTTGACCAATTGACTAAAATAATTTTGCTAATTAATTATATTTTTAACCCATTTTGTAACTAATTGTAACTACCATAATTTATTGTTTCAAAAATTCTCACTGCTATCAAAAATGCCAATGAATAAATATTATTTATGAAATATATTACATAATACAGTAATTTATTTTGAGGACAATAAATGGCAAAACCAGGGAAAAATAAACGTGCACAGTGAAAAATAAAATGAACTCACCGATATTGCTTTTTAAAATCCGCGTTGAAGCTAGTATATCCTTATTCACGTAAAGATTATTGTCTTGTTGTAACGAGCACTAAATATCCGACACTTTATTCTGCAACATAAAGAAAAAATTTCACGGTCAATATCTTTCCAATCACAATAAACGAAATTTATAGGCTAAGTTTTATTATTATAAATAAACCGTTGGATATATTCTCAAGAAGTAGCTATCGTTCCCAATAAAACAGCGGCTGTAAACATTTGACAGATGGATATTGTCGGAAAGAGCTGCGTAGATTTGATAATAAAGCATTCTTATCCACACTGGGTAGCGCCAGAGATGCATAAAACGTCACGTGCTATTTCATTTTTTAAGATTTAAACGGTCATAAACTACGATAGATAAAATATCTGTCGGCGTAACTCGCCTACGGAATACGCAGCAATATCCTGTAATCTTGCGTTCGCAAGCGTGTACGGTTAATCTTGAACGGCAATCGCTTATGGTTCGTACGAACATTTTACTACTTCCCCTTTCTTACAATCCTAAGTAGTCAATAAGAAACGGTCGGAGTGAACCGGTAACTTGATAGGGGGAATTTCGAATATTCCTACTTTCACGATTACTTGTCAGATGAAATTTAAATAACGCGACGTATACGACACTTGGCGTCGCGGACGAATTTATTCGTGTTCAGCCCTTTCGTGACCAGAATTGTGCAAAAATTGATATATCTGAGAGTAACGACGAAAAAGTGCCGAAAAGAATTTATTTGAAAATTTTACAATCGCTGGATAAATCAGAAATTTAGAAAAAGTAATAATTTCATCACGGAAGAATTTTTGAGAATTTTATTAATATCAGTTGAAAATTTGGCAACTTTTTTTGCATTTTAAATTTGCTGTAACTATATCTAAAATTTGAGGTAATTTTGCTTCTCTAGCTAACTTAATTTCTTAACGAAGATATAAAGAATACGCACCAGAAGAAAATAAGTAACTTTGCACATGTAAAAACACAGTTAACGTTCACCTAGATCGTCGGAAAATACGATAATAACGTAACTCGTTATAAAGTTGCGACGTTTGTACATCGACACATCACCGTGTGACGAGAAAGGTACTTAAAGTTGAACTTAACAATGGAGATTAATATTCAGGCTTAACAACCGCTCGAAACTTAATAAATAACTCACGAGTAACAGTAAGATCTTTAATCACACTTCCTAAAAAAAAAAAAGTAGAAGCATAATTGTAGCACAGTAAGCAGACATTCCCAAGCAACAATTCTAAGAGAAAAGAATGTAAAAAATTACTCCTCCGATTAAGAAAAAAATCAACCCACCAAAAACAGAGACCCAAATGTTTCTCCGCGTTAAACACACAAGAACGAAAATTCTCCCGGTAAAGCCTACGATGGAAAATAAATCTTGCCGACTAAAGAGCCGAGAAGAACGTGCGGTAAACATTTACGAGGGTATAAGCTCCGCTTGTATACACGAATTTCTTAACCCAAATTCCTCAAAGAAGCCCGAACAACAACCCAATTCATCCCGGAATAACATAACTTCCCTCCTACACCCGACTAGCCTACATCGCAAGAAAGCAGGCCTGTATACACCAGCTCGACCTTAACGCGACAGATTAATTTTTAAGCGCATAAATAACTCTCTGGCGCCATGGAAAGGCGACTCTGGCCGAACAATGGGGGTCGCTGCTCAGCTCGAGAAAGGGGAGAGCCTTTGAATCCTCGGCGTGCACGGATATTAAAACGGCGTTGGACGACGTCGAGGTTGGAAGCCCGTGTAAAATCGCGAAACTCTCCGCTTCGGTTTTCTCGTGCTGATACGACAAGTACGATGGTAAACGGTTTTTCGGTGAAACCAGGAGGGAAGGTGGTTGCGTATCGGAAGGATGGCCTCACTGGAATGGCAATTCCGTCAGCTGTGAGGACTTCTTGATTTCGCGGAGTGCTCGCCGTTTCTGCGGTTTCTTCGCGCGTGTAATGAAAAATTGCGGCCGCGTTCTCCCATCCCTTAAGTAAGCCCCGGCGGTTTCCTGCGGCCTCGTATAAAATGCACGCGCACGGCCACGTTTATAATTTCACGCTGGAAGAAGCTGGGAGAGGAAGGGAGAAGGGAGAGACAGCTGGACCGAGGGAGAGACTCGCGGCGCGAGGGTTGGATTTTGAGTAGCTGTTGTGGACTGTTCTACCCTCGAATGTTAGGTCTACCGGAAAGATCTGTCCGTTTTTGAGTTATACACCAATCCAAATTTCCGAATGTGCTCCGTGTTGTTGATATCAGAGACGCGCTCGTGTAGTCTGGACAAAGACTCTAACCGTCTCACTAGCACCCGCACGCACGGGCATCGCTCACGCCATAGACAAAGGAGCACCGAAGTCTCGAATCGTCATCTGAATCCACGAGAATCTCTCTCGTTACAACTCTCCGAAATGGTTCGTTGCGTTGAGTTGAGCTTTTCCGCAATCTCCGACTGTATAATGGTTTTAACAATGTCGTCGACGATCAGAGATGGTCTCCCAGAGCGTGGCTTGCCATTGAGGTCTAAATCGCCTACTTCATGCTTATTACGATGTATATCTACTTGTATTCTTCTTTAATAAATAGCGTTTATGTTAATATTACGTGTGTGTAGTAAGATTATTATATCCCTAATCTATTATATTACTCACACTGGATTCTTCACCTTCCAACTCTCCTACACAGTAGTTGTCCAAAGTTCATCTTTCTTAGACCCTTAAAAAGCCCTATTTTTCCATCCTCGAGTCACTCTCCGTATTGTCACCTGCGCGTCATATTCCGCCGGTTTTAATAAAGGTTCTTTTCTACGTAACGTCGATCTTCAATTGCTCCGATTTAAGTGTTACCCCAGTTACGAGAAACTGAGGCAAAACCGGGCACCACAGGACGATGCGATCGTAACACCGGGAATGGTAAATGTACAAACCCGGTAAAAGTTTGGAATCACCTGCCGATGTACATTAATGTTGAATCTACTACTAATTGTTTATATATTAGAAATTGGTATTGCGGAGATCAACTGTACTTTGCCTCGTTTCGGGTGATCTGAACGATAAGAAGTTCGTTGACAAATTTTTGTAATTGTTAATTGTAATTTTTGGAAATTTTCGTGCAACTTGTGACGCACAGTGATTCGAAACATTTGGCCGGTAGTGCAGTTACTACTAAAAATGTTTAGACACTATGAGTGTGCTTTTTTAGTGTGATTCTTTGGTTAATTATGAAAGGATCTTGCGTTGATGCTTTTTCTTAGTGAAATATGTTTTATTGTACTTAGGGATTGCGTATTGCTATGTATGAAGGAGAAAACGAACGAGAAAGTGTATTAATAGAAAGGCTAATGTACTAAATTATTAATTAGAAAATTCCACGGTGTACCTCATTTACTTTATGTCAATATTTTTCTTTGTCACAGGGTTTTCTAAAGTTGACAGTATCATAAATAGATTTGAAAGAAGACAATAAGAAGTTAGTAATATATTGTGAACATTGTCTTTAAAATTAGCTTTTTATAAAATTCTCATTCGGAGTATTTGATTAAATTTATAATTACGATTTCAATTTGTCTCAGAATTAATGTGACAAAGATTTCATTCGAGATATCGATAAAAATACATGCATTAGTATGAACATATTTGCAATTTGGTCTTAATTGATCACTTATTTTCAAAAAGCAGATATTTCAGTCAATTAAAAAAAAAACACACACAAACAAAAAATACTGTCATAAGCTAACGTAATGCAATCACACGAAAAACAGTTCTCAGAACGAATCAAAACATACTTAACTCAAAGTTAGTTGAAGTGCACGGCTCGAAGGTTGAAACGAAACTGCCCTACTTTTCTGATTCTTGTAACTCTGAATGGAGGGAATTCGAGGCACTATTGGTTCGACAAAGTTTTCGGCAAAGTTTCACACTGACCATAACAAATGTCCTTTTAAGAGCAACTAATTGTGGATTTCGGGAATTGTAAATGGTGAATTCCAGGAAACGACCGTGGTTGTGGTTAGCGTGTCGTCCAAGGGTAGCGTTTTATGACGTTGTTACGTGTTCTTAACGACTATGAGAAACAATGAATATATTGTTCGCATGATGGACTCGAAATCGCGTTATGATCCGAAGTCTGTATGATATAAGGCTTGGAGAGGTCTGAGGATTAAAGAATGGTTTATTTACTATGATTTTTATTTCTGTGTTATTGTTACTGGTATATTGTGATCAATGGTACTTTTGAAACACTTTGTGTGTTATTACTTATGACTTCAAGAATGCTCACTGAAGAATGATCATTTCCACCTTATTTAATTTTTGTGCAATTAGCACTTCGTATTTGAAGTGTTTATAATTTATATGGAATTTATGACACAATCCTCATCTATGGATAACCTAATTCACAATTATGGAAAGAAAGAAGGTTAAAATTGAAAGCAATTAACTTCTAAAAAAATTATATCTAGGCATAAAAAATAATATTCTTCTTGAAGTACGCATACATTATGGTAAATATTTTGCAAAATATTTTACACTGAGAAAATAAATTACTTCCTCAAATTAACTTCATTTCTGAATAGTATCAAATGGTTCCTAATTTGAAAGAAATTTCCCAGTAAATGATTCCGAAAATTTGAAAGAAAGATCAGTAGGCTCTCAAATTTATTAGTTTATTAATCACTCGATATAATATTGTACAATATTAATGTATAATATTAACTATAATATTAATCACTCGATTTGACTAAAAGGGAACGATTGTTGCAATGCACATTCCAAAGTGAGTACACATTCCAAAGTGAGTACACATTCCAAAGTGAGTACACATTCCAATGTGAGTTCGCATTCCAAAGTGAGTTTACATTCCAAAAAATTCCATCCATGCATTCAATTCGACGCTATAGGAAAACGGAAATGCGAACACAGCTGCCCTTTCTCTCTCGCGTTGCTAATGTTCGTTGCTCGCTAGAATCCATCGACGATGTATCACGTTAGTGTAACGCGAGAAATATGCAAATTAGCAGATAGAAGGGGGACAATAAGTCTGAAAGTGAAGGCGAGCCAGCGTGTTTGGT